TGGCCAAAGACAGTAATAACAATTAGACATCCAATTTACACATGGTTTTACCATTATATTAAGGGTTGTGGGCTCCTTTTCATAGGGCTGGACTCAGGATCAGTCATGGTTCTCTTACTGCCTTCTTTCCCTCTGGGAATTGTAGCTGGCTGTTTGTCCGTATTCTTTAGCATACTGACCTATGTTAAAAAAAAGAAATTAAAAAAAAAAAAAAAAGGAAAGGAAAAGAAAAAGAAAAAGAAAATGCATGTATTTGCTGACAAGCTTGCTTACCTAGAAGTCTTATCTGTTTCAGTTGAGGTTGGGCCCAGATTAAACCATCTTCTGGAAGTTAAAAAACAAGCTGCAAAGTCTACACATTTAAGAAGAAACGCATCTGTCCAAATTGAGGGAAAGCCGTAAGAAGGAGTGAAGCATCGTCCGGTGGCTGATGTGATTCTGCATAACAAATGTGGTGGATCCTTTCCTTCCTTTATTGCCAACTTGGGCATAAACCAAGGTGTTCAACACTATTTTTCAGAAGTGTTGAACACCTGCTGAGACTGCTGAAGTTAGCGAGACCTGCAGCTGCTCACCCCACATTTGATATACGGGATATTGACGACTCATCCACGCCTCTGTAAAGCTGGATGGTGACAGTCATCTCCTCAAGGAGCGGGCAGAGAAGCAGCTGATACTTGGGAAACATCTTATTAAATGAGGTGAAGCAACTTTAAAAGCTTTTGGGAGATAGATATTTTTTTCATGGTACAAACTGCAAGATGAAGCTTTATCATTTAAGTGCTCCACAAGGATATTAGTATGGTCTGCTTCTTGTCAATAAAATAAGACTAGACTTCCATCCTAATTGTAAAGGAGGCTGACCGTTATGGTTGTAGTGTTATTGAAAGACATTTATCCATTTTTACCGTTTCAGCCTCTGCATTCTTCCCATCCAATATGATTTTTTACTTTTGTTACAAGTCTGTTTCTCCTGCCAAACTCATGGCTTGGTGGAAATAAAGTAGATCAGTCTTTAAGTAACTTCACACACACACAAAAAATGTTTATCTACCATACTTGAGGATGACAGTGATTATCTGGACAAATTACTGTAAATTTAAAACCTGAATTGGACACATATGGGAGCTCTAAAAATTTTCTATTCCATGTGTGTTTGTTTGTGAACAGAAAAAATTATGTTCCTCTCATGCTTTTTCTCCCTTCTGTAATGAATTCAGAAATATGAGCAGGGAACCTTTAATTTTAAAAGAGATGAAGATTGAGATGTTAGCCTTTATAGTGCAGGATAAATCACTGACAGGAAAATCAAAACTATCAGTCAAGCAGAAAATGCCCCATCAATTGTTAGGTGTCAGTTTGTATTTCATTTTTGTTAACCTTATATCTCACTAGCCTTCAATGTTCTGACATTACTGCCAGACAAAAAAGGGAATTCCTAAAAATTGTGAGAGGTAGAATGAAATAAAGATTGCATATTAAATAAAGATTGATTTTTCACACAGATCTACTTTCTAGGAAGGTGCCAACTGAAATGTTAGACTTTCTCAGCTCTTTAGTGATAGAGCATCAAATAGTCATAGCATACAGATAAATAAACCTGGTCGTAGCCATGCCTTGCTCTGTATGGTGCTTTTTAAAGCCCTGTTATAAAACAACACTGTGACCTGTTCTACTAGTAATTTCTGCCTGTTATAGTTGTCTCTATTTTGCAAGATCATTTCCTAAGTGAGGATTCTCCACTTGAGAGTGGAAATGCAGTGCTGTCCAAAACTGCATACCATGAGACTGTTGGCTTACATAGGCTATGTACAGGGATTGTGGAGAGAGACATTACGTAGCTTCCTGATTTGGACAAAACTGAGGCACACTTCATGTGAGTACATTTGGGGAACCTGGGGGCTGTGGGTAGACATGGGTGGCTGGTTTTCAAAACTGAACCTTTGGCTGCATCTATAGTAGAGCAGACAGAGCCACAGCCCCTTCTTTGGCTCTGAAGACATGTTATGGCACAGCTTGCTTTCATATGGGTAAACTCTTTGCTCATGCCTATGCCCTTGGTGGCATACCCTGAATCACAGTCAGGCAACGTCTGGGACATAACTAGATGGGTCCAAGCTCAAATAGCACCAGGGAATATGATGGTAATAAACAAGTATTCACAGATGCAAGGCAGTTTTCGAGTATGAACATTAGCCTCATATTATCTCTAAATACAGAAAAGCCTGTAAATTTTTTCTTGTCTGTGTAACAGTTTAGAAGAGCATAAGCTTATAAGATAAAGTGATTTTTCATGCAATCAGAGCAGTTGTCCACATACTCTAACATTCTGCTTTGGTTACACTAAACATTTACCCGTAAGATTTAAGAAAAGATAGAGCTATTGCTATAATTTGCATTCCTCTTCCCTGTTCAATCTCGTCTGAATCTCCATATATATAAGGATACAAAGATGAAATCAGACAGTATTCACCCATCCTCTACAGCAATAGCATCTTGGACATGCACAAAATCTTTTCCCCCTTGGTGTGTGAGTAACACTTTCTACGATTTACCCATAAAATGGGAGTATACATTAATAGGCAATGATGTGCATTGTTTATAGCCAGCAAACAAATGACTTGTTGACATTTTTGCTTCTAAATTTGACTGCATATAGTTAACATATGATTCCATAATCAAAACTGCTGAACAGAACAGTTTTTATACATATGTTCAATGTGTGTGTTTTTTAATATATTTATATATACACACACATACATATATTTGCAAGCTCCTTTTTCTTGGCATACCCTGACAGAATTTCCTTCTCTTCCACCTCCCACTCCTGATTTTTATATTTGTAGACTTTTGATTGTTGTGTTTTCCAAAACCAAAAAGACATAAAGTAAAAGCAGGGACATGTCAAATGGAAAAGGCACCACAGACACAAATACTGGGAGGAAAAGGGAAAAAGATTGGGAAAGAGATTTTAACCAGGACAAAAATGAACACCCTGTTTATGCCAAATTAGACCTTGTGTCTAACTTCTGGCCTTGTGACCGTTGTCTTGGTGCTCAATGAAACACATCGGTTCACTGAAGTCACAGAAAATACCTGTCATTCATCTTGTGTTAATTTTAATTTGTAGCAGGCATTTGTGATTCCTATGACTGTTTCAGCTCATTTTCCTTAAAGAAGGAGTAAAGCAGAGCTCAGAATATGGCAGGGTAACCATAAAACCCCAATGCAATCCTGACTGTGGAGGGTTGTGCCCTGAGTTTCTGCACAGAACCATAGAATTAACTAGGTTGGAAAAGACGGTTAAGATCATCAAATCCAACCTTTATTCCAGAAGTACCAACAGGGGCTAGATGTCATCATAGTCAAACTGTCTCAGAAGGGGTTGAAGTGCAAAAATCCTTCACTCTTTGATTCTGTCTTATTCATCTCAGCATAAAATCACTGTCTCCCACAGGCTGCTTCCCAGCATTTTGATTCCAAACACATCAAAACTCACAAAAACCTTCATAATGATTATGGTGAGTATTGAATTGTTGTGTTGTTTTTCTCTGTGGCTGAGGTGACGATTTCACAGTCAGAAAGAAATGTATTCTAGAATGGCACACAGCTGAAACATTCCCCCCACTTTTTAGAGTGGATTCTGGTGCACACAGAGATTGTTACACAGAAGGAATCTCTAAACTAAACCCTACTTTTCTTTTTCCCCTTCCTTTCATTGTATATTATATTTTGCTTTCACTATGGGCAGACACAAAGTCACAGCTGGCAGCTGAGCTACTCAGTATAGCTGCAGAGCTCAGTAGTTTTGGACAGTTTTCCTGGCTTTCTTAATGATTTGCTCTGTGATTTTGACCAAGTTACTCCTTGCCTCTGCTTATCCATTTCCCCAGAGTAATAGCGGTCATTTATCATCAGTATAAGCTGTTTGGAAGCCTAGATATGAAAAGTGCTCATTATTAATGCTTTTAATTTATAGGATATATGTTTTCACTGAACTGCCTAATATATAACTTCAATGCTGAGTTGGGTCAGGGCTGGAAAAAGGTTTTTTTTGGCAGAAGAATAGATTCCTAGAGGTAGAAAACTTTACAGAAGTAGCTGCTAGTCTTCTCTTACACACACGTAATGTGTATATTCCTTTGGATTACAATTCTGTGTAAAACATTTATCTAGGGCCAAAGTTGATACACTGTGTATTTTGTTTAATAGACTTTGTAAAATTAGATTTTCCTATTTCTTTTTTTAAATGGGACTTTGACTTTGTTTACAATTACAGGTTTTCCTTGTTGATTTCTCAGTCATGATTTAAAATAGCAAATGACTCTACAAACTGCAGGGGAATGCATCGCTGTTCTTTTCTCCTTTCTGTTGCTGAAAACCAAAGTGATCCAGAGAGAAGCAGCAATCTCATGAGAACTCGACAGAGCCATAACACAGACAAATCCAAAAAAACCATCTTTGACTTTCATGATTAAGTTGCAGATAATGAGAGACTACTTCAGCAGCAGGCAGCACAAATCAAATCAGCCCTGCTGTAGTGCCATCGCAGTTACACAGAAATCAGGGCTCAACAGCTTAAATTCAGAGTTTGTGTTAGCAGCCATTAAATTCCAAGTCTGTAAATTGTTTAGTAAAGTGGTTAATTTTCTTTTTCTTCTCTCACCACTTATCCCCCCAGTGCAACGTTAAATGAAGATGCGCAGCCTTAATTGGTTTAGTTGCAAGAAGATAATCTTTTTTTCCTCCTTTCTTGCTGTTGCCTGTTAGCTTAAAGGCTTTTTAGCTGAAGGTTGATAATTATCACTGAGAAGAAACTAGCACATCAGGAGTTCATTTTCCATCTTAGCACTTGTGGTGCTCCTTTGAACTCCTCTCGCCAAACCCACGTTCCCACTCTGTCACTTTCCTCCCTCCATCATAAAAAGGTCTCAGCAGCCGGCGGCTCCAGCCTTTGCTGGCAGGCAGAGGGCATTGCTTCTCCTGAGCACTCCTCCAGCATGGACAAACTGCATGAGACGTTGATAAACATGGAAGATGCTTTGGGTTCAGAACACTCTGTCTGCTTATCATCCTGGGACTGGAAAAGCACCACTGGGTCTTTTGAGCTGCACCCCCTCTCATCTCCACACAGCTTATCCCCGACGCCCTCCTTTGAATCCTACTCCTCATCCCCTTGCCCGACGGCAGTGGAGACCCCCTACAGCAGCAGCAGTGGCAGCCTCATGGGCTACAGCCTGGTGGACTTCCCCCCTGCCTACCTGCCCAGCCCCGGGCAGGCTCGGATGCCCAAGGGCACCAAGGTGCGGATGTCTGCCCAGCGCAGGAGGAAGGCCAGCGAGAGGGAGAAGCTGCGGATGAGGACCCTGGCTGATGCACTCCATACGCTGCGCAACTACCTGCCCCCCATCTACAGCCAGAGGGGACAGCCCCTCACCAAGATACAAACCCTGAAGTACACCATCAAGTACATCAGCGAACTGACGGAGCTCCTCAACAGTGCCAAGCGGGTGTAGACCCCAGTGGAGCACCCGCCCCCCGGCACGCTCAGGGTCTTTACAAACAAAAAACCAGCAAAATTTCTTCCTTGCCAGAGTATAAGGTGCAAGAGGAGGACGGAACGAGGGAGGGAGACCGAGGGCCACTGCTGTACATATGATGTGATGATGGAAGGTGATACAGGATTGCCTAAAAACCTGAGCTGCAGCTTGCTGAGACGGAAGACTTGCTTTTTGCTTTTTTATGTCTTTATTTTTTTATTAATGATAAGCTTCTGAGAATTATTAAACCTAGTCTGATAGAAAAGTGAACAAAGAAAAGACAACTGATCTTCCTAGGATTTATCTATCACTATTCCGATGGATTTTCTGTTTATTAAGGACAATAGTAAATCCATAGGTTTTAAACTGAATTTTAACAAAGGAAAGGACAACACTATATGGATACCATGTGTATTGATTTGTACGCACTTTAATACTAGGATGAGGAAGAACATGTATGGTTAGTTCAAGTATTGTCTATTTACCCATATTTCCACTGTACCTAAAAAATCAAGAAACTAAGTAAGAGTGAGAATATCTTTGCTCACAAACAAATAAATACCAGTGTCATAGTCTGTATCTTGCATTATATATCTGATTGATAGATAAGTAAAATCTAGCAATTACTGCTAAATATTGAAAATGAAATATAAGCAAACTGACATTTTGTGTAGATAAATTGCTGTTATAATCCTATCTTCTTTATTAATATATACAGAAACGTGATATTTCTGTATTTAATGTATAAAACCTGCTTACCTCAATGCCTGATGAATTATGGAAGATATTTTTACATCAAATTGCTAGAACAAATAATATTAGGCTGAATTATCTTCCTGCTCTTCCTTCACTCTGACATGAAATAAATTGATTCAGGTATCAGAAAGATGCAAATACTTACCCTCAAGGTGTACTGAAACCTAGGAGGGCTCCAGTAACCATAACATCTCCTTATTAAAAGCTGTCAGATCAGCTGTTTCCTACAGCTAGTAACAGTCCCATAAAGCACACACCAAACCCAAACTAATGAGGACCTAGTCCTAATCCTTAATTACTTTGACTTTCATCTGACAGATATCACAGAGGTCTCACCACACGACCAAAAAATATGGGTTGTTTTGTAAATCCCATTGCAGACTGATTCATCAGATTTGGCTGTACTGAGGCCAGGAATGCACAGAGAGGACCAAATCCCAGGGCTGAGTTGTGCGGAGCTAATTAAGACAGATTAACCTTTTCTCCATGGGGAGATGTAAGGCACAGTGTGAGCAGCTGCAAGGAGGTAACGGGCTTGTCTTACTGGGATGGACAGTTCAGCATGTCTCTGTGGGGCAGATGGCTTAGGTTTTAGGTTTGTGGATATACCCTGTAGCAGAGTACTGTAAAGCTAAAACTTTATGGTATCTTTTTTCTCTTTTCCTCTTTCTGTTTGTTGGGAAGGAAATACAATTGTCTTTGACCATTTTTTAGTCCAAGGCTCAGCCTAAGCTAACTCTGTGCTCTTCTCACATGGTACATGCATATTGCAGCAAACAGTGTGAAATCCATCAGTCTCTCAAAAACCAGCTACATTCAAATTTATGCAGGTAGCACTGTCCCTCAAGATGTAACCACATCTAAGCATATCCCCTATGCTTCTGTTTTGTTTTAAACTATATTAGATTTCTCACAAGCTTTAAGATTTCAGCAAGAATATAAGGAGAAAATTTTTTTAAGCTGTGTTGGGTTTACATGGCAAGGTTTTGGTAGAAAGGGTGCTGCAGGGATGGATTCTAAGAGAAGATGTCAGAAGCTTCCCTTGTGTCTCATAGTCAGTGCCAGCTGCCTCCAAGATGGACCCACCACTGGCCAAGGATGAGCCCATCAGTGATGGTGGCAGCGCCTCTGGGATAATGTAGTTAAAAAGGAAGAAAAGTTACTGCACAGGAACAGCTGCAGCAGGAGAGAGGAGTGAGAATGTGTGAGAGAAACAGCCCTGCAGACATTCACGTCAGTGAAGCAGGAGGGGAGGAGGTGTTCCAGGTGCCAGCACAGAGATTCCTGTGTAGACCATGGCGAGGCAGCTGTGCCCCTGCAGCCTATGGAGGGCCATGATGGAGCAGATCTCCACCTGCAGCCCAGGGAGGTTGATCATGGAGTGGATTTGCTGGCAGGACTTGTGACCCCACAGGGACCCACACTGGAGAAGCCTGTTCCTGAAGGACTGCAACAATGGAAGGGACCCACACTGGAACAATCCATTCCTGAAGGGCTGAATCCGTGGAAGGGACCCACACTGGAGCAGTTCATGAAGAACTGCAGCCATGGGAAGGACTCACTTTGGAGAAGTTCATGAAGGACTGTCCCCATGCTGGAGCAGGGGAAAAGTGAGGAGGAGGAAGCAGCAGAGAAAATGTGTGATGAACTGACTGCAACTCCCATTGCTCATCCCCCTGTGCTGCTGGGGGGCAGGAGATAAAGAATTTGGAAGTGAAGTTGTGCCCGGGAAGAAGGGAGGGGTGAGGAGGAAGGTGTTTTAAGATTTTGTCTGTATTTGTAATTACCCTACTCTGGTCTGATTAGTAATCAATTAAACTAATTTCCCCACGATGAGTTGGTTTTGCCCATGACAGTAATAGGCAAATGATTTCTCCCTGTCCTCACCTTGACCCGAAGAGCCTTTCTTTGCATTCTCTTTCCCGTGTCCAGCTGAGGAAGGGAGTAACAGAGCAGCTTTGGTGGGCACCTGGCATCCAGTCAAGGTCAACCCATCACAAAGGCCCTTTAAAATAGTCAACCTAGAGAAAACTTCATGCGCATATGAGATGGCAGCACTCATATCAGCATAGCATCCCCCAGTATAAACCTGTGCAGCTGATCCAGATTTGAGCAGATGAAAAGCCACACAGACAGGGTCAGTCTAGATTATATTTTGCAAGGGAGTGAAATTGTATGTTGCCCATGCAATCCCATGTGGGATCTTGCAAAACTTAGAGCTTGATCCCACAGCCTTTCTCAAAGACTGTCATTGTTGCAGACATCTGTACCTGTTCACTAGTGCTGGCAAACCATCAGCACAGGAAGATAATCCAATGATTCTGTGATGTTAAAGACCATCATTGTTCACAAGTAGGGTGGGTGTGTTGTCTATGCTTGGGAAGACTTGTTATCTTGTTCCTTAAATCTACAACACCTGAAACTACAGGTAATTTGACTATGCTTTTCAGCTCTAGGGAAGCTTTAGGTCCCAGAACAGAGAAACAAGGCATTAGAGAAGGATCCACTTTTATTGCTCATCTATCTATGACCTTGGCTGATCATCCAACATTGCTGCCTCAGTTTACCCATCTGCAAATGAAGCCTGCGGTAGCTAATGGCTTCAGAAGGCTGCTACTCATAGCCAAAGCTAAGCAATGCAGCATGCAGAAAAAGTGCCCCAGCAGGAGGTACTCTGCAGCTTTAAGAAGTGTCTCAGGGTCAGCATTTCCCACCACCCTGGAGAAAGTGGCAGGTTATGATCCTGAACATGCTGAGCTATAGCTTGTTAGGTGCCTGTAGAGCTCCTCTGTCTCCCTCAAAGTCCAAGGTGCAGCAACAGCTTCAGGTAACCACAAAGGCAAGGCTTTGCTTTTCAGAAGGACATTTCACTGCTTCAGTGGCAGTGAACTAGACCTTGTCTGTGCCTACTCTCCATCCCCAGAATTCCAGTGGCCACTGCCATACCTTTAAATACTTTGAGCTCCAGCACAGCCTGACTGCATCCAAGCTGACCTTAGGGAATGGTCTGCCCTAAATCACTCGCTGTGCTGAACAGGACCAAAGCCCATGTCCAGGATGGAGTCAATTTACTAGAAGAAGTTGCACTGTTTAATTTGTCTGATCCCCCTTCAGGGGATGTCTCTTCCACCTGCGCGTGTGGTGAGGAAAGTGACTGAGGTGTACGAGTAGGAGGCAGAGGTAGGTTCAGTAACTGTGTGTGACTGGGAGCTCCTAGGAGCTGCCAGGTTTGTTTCTCCCCTCCCAGAAAGAAATTAGTTATTGCTTTAGTTGACACAGAACATCTCTACAAGCCCCTCCTTCTGTAATTCTTGCACTTGGCATAGACATTTTACCAATCCAGAAGAAATAGTCTGAATTGTTATATTCATGATTGTACATGCCCTGCTGCTACTAGATGTTGGATTTTATTTATTTTTCAATAAAATGGAATACAGTCAAGGTTCCTCCTCTTTTCCCTTTCCTTTATCCACAGAATTTTAATTTAAAAGTGATGCGAAAGAGACCAAGTTCCACACCTGAGGTTATAGGGTCTAGCCTTCAGGACTGTACATAGAGCTATAATGAATACCAAAAGCAACACCACAATAATCCATAAAACAGAGGCAAAAAAGTGGAACCTCAGTCTGAAAAAATTGTACAAGTTAGAGAAGTGGAGGACATCTCTCACATAAAAGCATCTTCTCTTAACACAGTATGCTAAATATCTGCATAGAAATAAAGTAGCAGCCCAAACACTGGAAGGCCAAGTCTAAGGAATCTAATTAAATTACATTCTGCCTAAGGGACAGAGTTGCTTATGGTGCTAAAGAGAGAGAAATACAGGAGGGTGAACTGGGGTTAGTCCCAGACAATGAAATGAACTCATCCAGCCCCAAGACCTCTCTGATTTCCAGGTTAGCATGTCACTGAAATTCCTTACTGTCCTAGGTTCAGCTACAGCAGCCGTTTTTTATTCCTTCTTAGTAGCTGGGGCAGTGCTGAAAGTCAAAAACACAGCACTGCACCAGCTACTAAGAAGAAAAAAAAAAAAAAAAATGACTGCTGTAGCTGAACCCAGGACACTTACTAACGTGGAGAGTAGAACATAAGTACAAAAGAAGCAGCCACCACCACCAAAATACAGTTTTGTACCCCATTCACAGTTTTCTCATACAAGAAATTTCATGAGTGATACTAGTCAAAGCTGAAAGGACAGCAGATAAACACTCAAATACGAA